GTCTTCTTTCTCCACAGGGAGCTGCCCTCTCGGAGACGCTCCCTGCCCGGTAAGTCCTGCCCTTGCCGTCGCCTGAAACGTTCTCCTCCCGGGCAGAGGCGGCGGCGAGGAAACCGGGCTGCCTGTGTTTCTCCCCATAACGTGCAGACAGAGCAGGGAAGCCAGATGCCGCTTAGTAACGACAGCTGTCACTCACTCGTTTAGTCCGTGGCTACTAAGTCTCCACTGTGTCAGGCACTAGCGAGGCCCCCCTAGGGCACAGCAGTGGGACATGCCTGCCTTCCTGGAGCTTACAGTCTGGTGGGAAAGGAAGTGTAGATTGCTAAGCAAATGAAGGTGGACAGAAGAGTCCTCTTTAAATATATATTTTAAAATTGATTTCAGAGAGGAAGGGCGAGGGTGGCAGAGAGGAAGGGAGAAGGAGAGAGAGAGAGAGATTGGCTGCCTCCTGCACGCCCCTCATTGGATCGAGCCCGCAACCTGGGCATGTGCCCTTGACCGGAATCGAACCCAGACCCTTCAGTCCGCAGGCCGATGCTCTATCTACCAAGCAAAATCGGAGAGGGCAAGAGTCCTCTTTCATAGGTGGTATTAAGGCTGTTACCCAGAGGCTGTGACCGAAACCAGCCCAGTGCAGAGTAGGAGAAGGGAAGGGAAACGCATGTACAAAGTCCCCGAGGAAGGAAAGAGCTTAGCCGTGCTTGGGAACTGGAAAAAAAATAAAATAAAGGTGATTTGGCCAGAGCATTCTGGTTAAGGGAGAGAGTGGCATGAGATAGAAGATGGTATGGTGTGGAGACTACTGGAAGGAACTTAGATTTTATCCCAATAATTGTTTATAATCCTGGAATAAGTATTTGTTGAATGAGTCGAGCTTGTTGTGGGCTTTCTGTGTGCCAAGCAGTGTTCTGAGTGCTTTCTGTGCATCGTTCAGTTAATCATTAAGAAACAGTACGAGGAGTATTCTCTCTATTTTACACACATAGAACCCAAGGCTAAGAGGTTAAATGCTTTGACCAAGGTCACTCAGTCTACTATTGGTCAAGACTGACTCCTCATGTACTCAACAGGTTATTTGAGTTCTTACTACTGTTCTAGGTGATGAAATACAGATGGTCTCTCCCCTCGAGGATCTTCTGTGCTAGCTGGAGAAACAGCATGTATACATTTATGTACACATAAGGATGTACTTACATTGTGATTACTGTGAAAGGGAAGCGCAGGGTGTAAGGAGAGGGTGGGATGAGGTAGCCCAGCTTGGGAAGGTGGAGAGTGCTGTGGGAATGTTAGTTAAGGCTTCCCCAAAGAAGTAACATTTAAGCCAAGCCTTGAAGAGTACATAGTTATCCAAGAGAGCTATATTCCAAGTAAAATGAATTGCTTGTGTACAGGTTTTCAGGCAGGAAGAGACTTGACTAGTCACAGAAACGGAAAGGAAGCATGTCTGGCTGGAAAGAGCCTTGGCCTTGGGGTTTGCATTGTGGCTTAGGGCTTTACCTTGGGGCTAGCAGCTTCACCTCCGGAAGCCCCACTTATAAAATGGGAATAGTGGCAGATGGTGCTTCTACTTCAGGGAATGGTGAGACAGGAAAATCAAAATGAGGTCATTATGTGAAAGCTTTTTATAAACCCTACAAGTGAAACTTGCTGTAGGCTGAACTCTAAATTGGATTCAGGGTTCTAAAAATCAGCATGGACTGCTGGCTGTTCTAGCTCAAAACATGCTAGCATACTTGGGATTTGTGCTGTAGAGTCATTGGCTGTGGACATAGGTGACTTACTTGACTCTGAAACCCAAGGGGTGTCTGTGCAGAGGTGAGCACAAGAGAGATTTCTCATTTGGTGTCTCCCGAACCCTGGTTCAGAAAGGATTCTTAATAGATTGGAAAAATGAAAGCACATATTCAGGTGAGGCAGCTATAGTACTTAGTTCAGCTGGGGAAATGCAGTGATCTGTGAGAAGGACGGTGGGCAGAAAGGACTCCTACCTGTTGTGTGTTACCAGACTAGAAGACCTCAGGAAGAGACAGTAAACTGAAAGGAGGGATAATTACTTGCTGACTACTAGGACCAGCTGCAGACCCTGGGCCTAAAGTAAGCCTGTCTTTGCTACTAGGGTTTACCAGTAGCAAAGGGGTTGGCAAACTGCGGCTCGCGAGCCACATTCGGCTCTTTGGCCCCTTGAGTGTGGCTCTTCCACAAAATACCGACTTCTGCGCATGGGCCACGAAGGTTCAATCGCACTGTACGTGCGCGCCCGCTTTCTGAAAGCTTCAGTTGTATTTGAAGACTTGGGGAGTAGAGACAATTTATTTGGAAAACATAATAGGGATAATAAAAATTTATGGATTTTAAGGTAAATAAGATAAAACTACTTCAGGCTATGCCCTTAGAATTCTCCCCTTTCCTGCTCAGCCACATACCCACTGTCAACCCCATACACCTGCTGCTCTCTGCTATTATGGTCATTTTGGTGGAAAAGTTTAAGAATCAGGACTCTGTGTGATAAAGATTATATTGTTGCCTGTAGTTGATACTACTCTTTCTCAGAGTTAGAGGGTGAACGGACTTCTTTTTCATTCCCAACAGGTATCCTGTATAAGATAAGAGTTGTTGGTTAAGAGTTGTTTTGTTTCTTGCAGGGGTCTCCTTATGTCAGGGACCAGGTTACCCTGACAGGAGGACGATCGCGTAAGTATCACTGGGGAGTACAGTTATGTGGCCATAGGGCACTTAAGATATCACTTATAAATTCGACCATTTGCTTTCTTCAGTGGTTTCCAGGGCTAGAATTCTAGAATTAGGTTGAGTCCCTAGACCTAACCTGGATGTTAATTTATGATGTGCGATGTACCTTGAGCTTCAGCCCCACGTCCAGTGCTGGACCAGGAGTGTGCCTGTCCTAAGGTGCTTAGATTATAATGAAACTGGAGTTGGAATCCTCTTTTTATGGCTAATAGATATAGAAGGGTGCTCCTAAACAGTATTCTGGTTGGATACAAGTGCAGCTCAAGGGCTGGAGGTTACATTTATTGTGGAGGTTGAGAGGATCCTCTTGATGTAGCATAGCTATTTATTTTAGAAACAGTAAAAGCAAAAGACTAGTCTGTTGAGTCCTGGGACTTTGACTAGTTTGGAGGGAATGTTATTGCATAATGCAAAGTTTGGACAAAGGCCACCCATGTGTGTTTCAGGTTAACTTCTGCTTATGAATGTTGCTTAATGTTACTTTCCCTTCCAAGTATTTTCAAGGTGGTGGTAAGAGGATGCTCTCTAGTTACGTAGTAAACAGCTATCAAGCTACTTTTACTGCAGGGAAATCTTCAAAATGAAGAGTCAGCAGATTAGTTCCTTCTTCACTGTGCATCTCAATGGGATTTTTAAAAATAAAATGATGTGTTATTTTTAGAGGGCAATTTGGCATTCATAAGTCTGAACCTTTTGATCTAGCAATTCCATTTCTAGGAATCTATACTAAAGAAATCCTGGTGTCCCCAGATTTCTCTCAAATGGCCAAACAACAGAGATTGGTTAAGCATGTTCACACTATGATAAGTGAAAAAAAAAAAAAGCAGTTTATAAAATGATTCCATTTTCTTCTCTCTTGTATAATCCCATTGTAAATGTTCTTTTTGTTATTTCCAAATATTCTACAGTGAACGTCTAATACTTTTATAATTAAAAAAGTTAGATTCAAAATGTGCTACTCATCTGCAATTTCTATGAAAATTGGAGCAACCACAAACCTACATGCAATAAATATAACAAATAACTATTTGAAAGTAAATTATTTTTTAGAACCTTAAACTTTGAGGGGTTAGATTACACATTAGATTAGGCTATCACCCGAATCTAGTAACTTTTGTATTGTGTATTTAAAAAGTATATTTTTTTATTTATTTCAGAGAGGAAGGGAGGGGGCAGGGAGAGAGATAGAAACATCAATAATGAGCGAGAATCATTGATTGGCTGCCTCCTGCTGGCCCCACACTGGGGATCGAGCCCACAACCCAGGCATATGCCCCAACTGGGAATCTAATCATGACCTTCTGATTCATAGGTTTACCCTCAACCACTGAGCCATGCTGTCCGGGCTGTGTTGTGTATTTTTTCTGTGAATAACTTTATTTTTATTTTTTAAAAATATTTTTATTGATTTCAGAGAGGAAGGGAGAGAGAGAGAGACGAGAGAGAGAGAGGGAGAGATAGATACATCAGTGATGAGAGAGAATCTCCAATGGGCTGCCTCCTGTACGCCCCACACCTGGGGACTGAGCCCACAACCCAGGCATGTGCCCCGACCGGGAATCAAACCATGACCTCCCGGTTCATAGGCCAATGCTCAACCATGGTCACGCCGACTGGGCTACCCACTTTATTTTTAAAATCTTTTATTGTAAAACTATTTTTGGCTTTATATTTTTATTTAATAGGTTATACATGTACATGGTTCAAAAGTAAAGTGTCTATGAGAAGACTTTATTCTTGTCCTCCAGTGCCACCAAGTTCCTCTTCCCAGAGACAGCCAGTGCTCCAGGTTCTTGCATGTCCTCACAGAGCAGTCTCTGCATTACCCGTTGGTTCTTGCCCATGATCATGTAGTTACACACGGTTATAAACTTTATACAGAACGCTTTGTGGTCTGTATTTTGTTATAACTTACATTTTCCCCCTTGGTTTAATGTAGATTTTATTTTGACTTTATAAAGGTTAAAAATACCAAAGTGCAACTTAAATCTGTTTTACTTTCCTATTACAAAGGTGTTTGGTATAGAATAGTCAAACAGTCCTGAAATGCACAAAGTGAAAGTCCCCGTCAGTCTGAAGCAGTCTCCCAAAATGCGTATGTTTGTAACAGATAACCATAGATACCATATACATATATCTATGCCTCTCACTCTCCAGAGGTAACCACTGTTAACACTTTCTGGCATACAAGGTGGTAGCATTCTCTGGTTTACATTATTTAAAGTTAGTGTCATATCAAGAAATTCCTTGGTCTTTTGAGGTTCCGCTTTAATGAGTCCATATGAGGAGACACCATATGAGGTTTTTGGGGGTTTTTTTTGGTGCATGGGGGAATAACCTTATTTCACTTCCACGTTAACTGTCTCAACTAGCTGCTTTATCTAATCTAAATCTGCAATCCTATGGACAGAAATTCATTATATTTGGCACAATGGCAGTATCACAAGGGCATGAAATTGATCTTACTTGGATTTGGTTGAGGGAAAAAAACCTGATCAGAAAGATAAGTCCTTTTGGTGAGTGTGCAAAGGACCAAGATGCTTATCTTTTTCTTCAAAGAACCAAATGTAAGTCTGTTTTGTAAGAGAATTTCACTGCAGCATAGGGTCCTGGACTCACACAATGAGCTCACTACTTAGGGCACTCAAGGCATCCCATCCAGGCTCGGCTCTAGACCTGCCAAGTAAGAATCTCGGGATGAGGCCTAGGCAAGTTCCCCCAGGTGACACTGGGGCACCCTGGGTCAAGAATCATTGATTTAAAGGGAAGGTGATCCATGGTGCCTAAAATGTGAGTGGTTCACTGGCCAAAGGAGTTTACTTTTGTTTCTTTTCTAGCATTAACAATAGTAGTGTCTTCAGTGTTCGCTTCTTCAGAACTACGGCTGTGTGCAGTAAGTACCTGCCTTCAGCTCCCTGCCTTGGGAATGGAGTTTTAATGGGAAGAGAACAATTGTCTGAGTTTAATTGAAGGAAAAAAACTATGGATTATGTGTGATTTTCTTTCTTTTTTTTTTTCTCTTTTCCTAGAGGATGATGTGATTACAGTAAAAACCCCAGCATTTGCAGAATCTGTCACAGAAGGGGATGTCAGGTGGGAGAAAGGTAAGATTAGTGCCCTCTCACTTAAATTGAAATACTTCCTAAAAGTCTTTTCTTATCTCCCCCACCCCCAATGATAATCAGTAGAACCTATGGCCCCACCCTTTTCTTTACATGTGGCCTGCTTTATCCTGGCCCTGTAGGAAAGGGGTCTTATATCTGCAAAAGGGTATTTTGTGGCTACTGGAGGCCTTCCTGACAGGTAGCCTTTGACTATTTTTTCAGCTGTTGGAGACACAGTTGCAGAAGATGAAGTGGTTTGTGAGATTGAAACTGACAAGGTAGGCTTGTCCTATATTTGTGCCAATTTTTTTAAGGTCTCTCCTTGGTTTCTTAACTTAATGAAAGAAACAGGGCTTTAACTGTTGTTTAAAGATCATCTTTAACTGATTCTAAGCACAGTTGTAAAAATGTTGGAATAGCTCATTAAAAAAGAAAAAAAAAGGTTTAATTTAGATTGTTCTAGGTCAGTGATTTTCAACCTTTTCCATCTCATAACACACATAAACTAATTACTAAAATTCTGTGGCACACCAAAAAAAGTATTATATTTTTGCCACTCTGACAAAAAGATAGGTATAATTTTATTCATTCACACTGGATGACTGCTATTGTGTTGTCTGTTGTCATTTTTTAAAATTTGAAAAATTAAGGGAAAAGAGGTCAGTGCCCCTGCCTAAATAGTCAGGTATTGCATATTTTAAAAATTCTTGGGGCACACCAGTGCGCTTCAGCATAGGGGTTGAAAATCGCCTTTCTAGGTGCATGTACTATGTACTTTAGTAATAGTTTTGTAGCTCTTTGTGCCTGTGTGTAAGACCCTGCACAATTTGTTGCCACTTCTTTTTCAAGTATCACCTGGAAACTTATGAACTGAATGCTGCTTTAATGTTTCTGAGAAAGGACATAAAGAGTGAAGAGTGAATCTTCACAGTAGCATTGACTTGTCATACTCTCATCCCGAAAGTGTTGCGTTGGCATTTTTTTATGCATGGTCTTGTATATCTGTGTTGCAACTCTTTCTTGTAACTCATATTTGAGATTCTGTACAATTAATTTTCTAATGCTGAGTAAAAATTTGTCCATCTGTCTTCCTTTTCCAGACATCCGTGCAGGTTCCATCACCAGCAAACGGCGTTATTGAAGCTCTTTTGGTACCTGATGGGGGAAAAGTTGAAGGAGGCACTCCTCTTTTCACACTCAGGAAAACTGGCGGTAAAGAAGTTCCCCTAGTTGTCCAGGCCTTCAGTGTTGCCCGGGGAATTGGGGCTGAGCATAATGTACTAATTCCTTGGTACCTCAGGCAATTTGGCATTCCAGCTGCCCTTAGTTGAGGGAATAGAGGGGGGTGATATTTATATAATGTGAACTTTAAATGTCAAGTTTTAGAAGAAAATGGTATTAAAATAAACCTCATAGCCCCTAGCTGGTTTGGCTCAGTGGGTAGAGCATCGGCCTGCGGACTAAAGGGTCCCAGGTTCGATTCTGGCCAAGGGCACATGCCTGGGTTGCAGGCTCGATCCCCAGTAGGGGGCATGCAAGAGGCAGCTGATTGGTGATTCTCTCTCATCATTGATGTTTCTATTTCTCTATCCCTCTCCCTTCCTCTCTGAAATCAATCAAAAAATATTTTTAAATAAATAAACCTCATAGTATTCTGTTCTTTCCATGTATGTTTCTTATGCTGGACCTTTTCTTAAAAATATGATAGAAATCAAGAAGGTTCTGAAGACAGGGATTTTTTTCCCCCTCAACCCTGCCATCAGAAGCACATGGAGGCTTTAAAAAATAATACAAATGCCTAGACTCCATAGTCCAGGGATTCTGATATATTAAATCTGAGGTTACAAGATCTTGGTCGTCTGTCATAGTTTTTCGTGTGTTTGTGTGTGGTTTTTAATGCTCTCCAAGTGATTCTGATACACAGCCAGAGCTGAGAGCTACTGTTCTAAAGTGAGAAGTGAGAAAAAGCAATGTTTCATGGTGTCTATTATGGAGAATTCAGTGCAATATTTTTATATCTGTTCCCATAACATTTGTAGGGAGGGTTGGTATTTCTCTTGAGAATAAATGAGAAGTAAGCAAATGAATTTGTACTGGACCTTACAGTCAGTATTAGAGAACAGAACAGAAAATAACTTTTTAAAAAATATATATATTCTATTGATTTTTTTACAGAGAGGAAAGGAGAGGGATAGAGAGTTAGAAACATTGATGAGAGAGAAACATCGATCAGCTGCCTCCTGCACACCCCCTACTGGGGATGTGCCCGCAACCGAGGTACATGCCCTTGACCAGAATCGAACCTGGGATCCTTCAGTCCGTAGGCTGACACTCTATCCACTGAGCCAAACCGATCAGGGTGAAAATAACTTTTTTCCTAATTCTCAGTTAAATGCTATATACTAAAGTTTCTTTCTAATTGTTAAAATATATAGCAGAGAGATGGTAGATTGCATCATTGAGATTGGTGAGGGCAGTATAGAAGCCCAGAATGGAAAGAAAGTTCAGTAGAAGGCTAGTGAAGAAGATTGATTTTTCAATTGAAGAATTCCTTCTTTTGATCATTTATTCCTTTAAAAAAATAGTTCTAATTTAAATATAAAACCAAATATAATGTCCAGATGGGTAAGATCAAAATAAACATCTAATTTAACCTTGTGAGTTTATTACTTGACCATCTCATTGTCTTATAAGCATCATCCAAATGAAATGCTTTGAACTCTTAAGTCTAAATGAACACTTGATTATTTAAATTTTGTTTTTTAATAGTTAACTATATTCTTCCATATGTGATGATCAGTAGATATTTGTGAAATTAGGGAGGCAGCTGAATTCAGTAGGTCTTATGTAGGATCTAGAAGCCCTGGAGAATAGAAGAATGGTGCCTATATCATTATATGTAACTTATAGTGCCTTGCATATATAGCGAATATCTAGTAAGCATTTGTTAATTGATTGGAGATAGAGGTTTTGCTGCTAAATTCTTCTTATATCGGTGATTTGGTTGCTTTCCATTCCAGACAGTGGCATCTGTTTTTCTTGTTTTCCAGCTGCTCCTGCTAAGGCCAAGCCAGCTGAAGCCCCTGCTGCCGAAGCCCCAAAGGCAGAACCGGTAGCATCGGCAGCTCCTCCTCCTCCTGCAGCATCCATACCCACTCAGATGCCACCAGTGCCCTCACCCTCACAACCCTCTGCTAGCAAACCAGGTAAGCCTTCACTCCTGTGTGTGTGTGTGTGTGTGTGTGTGTGTGTGTGTGTGTTTAATATATATTTTTATTGACTTCAGAGAGGAAGGAGAGGGGGAGAGAAATAGAAACATCAATGTTGAAAGAGAATCATTGATTGGCTGCTTCCTGCATGCCCCCTACCAGGGATAGAGTCCGAAACCTGGGCATGTGCCTTGACTGGGAATTGAACCACAACCTCTTGATTCATAGGTCGAAGCTCATCCATTGAGCCACACTGGCAGGGCTCCCATGTGTCTTTTTTCTCACAGGGCAAAGTCTGAGACTAATCATGCCTCTGAACAGGCTCTGTTGGCTACTCTGTAGAAAGAACTGTAGACTTTGTATCAGAACACCTGGGTTTGCATTCCAGCTTTCTGTTTACAGCTGTGTGGCTTTTGGCTACTTAACTACTCTGAGCAGATTGTTAATTTGTGAAATGGGAATGGTACCAGTGTACCTCAGAATATCTTTTGTTTTGTTTTGTTAATCTTCACCCCAGGATATTTTTTTCTTTTTTGAGAGAGTGGAAGGGAGAGAGACACAGCAATTGGTTGCCTCCTGCACGCACCCCAATCAGGGCAGGGGATCGAACCTGTAACCCAAGTAGGAGCCCTTGATTGGGAATCAAACCTGCGACCCTTTGGTGCATAGGCTGATGCTCTAACCAAATAGCAACACTGGCCAGGGCTACCCCAGAATATCTTTTTTTTTTAGTATATTTTTATTGATTTCAGAGAGGAAGGGAGAAAGAGAGAGAGAAACATCAGTGATAGAGACTCATCAATTGGCTGCCTCCTGCACACCCCCCACTGGGGACTGAGCCCACAACCCGGGCATGTGCCCTTGACCAGAGTTGAACCCGGGACCCTTCAGTCCGCAGGCCAACATTCTATCCACTGAGCCAAACAGGCTAGGGCTACCCCAGAATATCTTGACGATTAGGTGACTATACAGTATGAAAGCACTGGCACATACTCAGTAAATGTTTCATTTTCTGATGCAGCTGTCCCCACCCCACCCTCCCAACCCCACTTTCTTTTCAGTGTCTGCGGTAAAACCCACTGCTGCTCCAGTAGCTGAGCCAGGAGCTGGTAAAGGTCTGCGTACAGAACATCGGGTAAGCCCGAGGCAGAGGGCATATTGAGATTAGTGGAGTATGGGCACGGTAGTGCCTGCATTTGATTGGCTGGCTGCTTATTCTCTTGACCTTGACAGGGAAACTGAGTTTGGGAAGTGACTTGTTCATAGTCATGGACTGTCAAATGATAGGACTAGGACCTGAGTGAACACTTGTCCAGTGGTTTTTCCTAGTATGTTGTGCTACCACTGAATTGTCTTGGGTGAGTAAATTATTTGCAGGGATGGTAGCTTAGTATCGTGGGAGGGAAGAGTGCATTAACACACTTCAGAGAGGTGGTTTAGTGAGCTCTATCCCTATACTTCCGGGATACCTAGCTGAGGCCTCACAGTAGCAGTAGCTATCAGGGGCAGACATAAAACCTCAAGGAAGTATGGTCAAGAGTGTGGGTTTCTCTGCCTGAGAGAATGCCTCCTAAAATACTATAGCCTCAAAAGTTATTGCTTCAGAGTTTCCATTCCACAAGTAGCTATTCTCATGCAAGTCTTTAACACTAGAAATTGCCGTATCTGTAGTGATCCCTTGGCTGACTAGCCCTACACCACACCACACTCTTCCTTTCTATAAATTGGTTTTTAAATCAAACCATTTCCTGGGCCTCCATTTCTGGTCAAACTTTAAGTGAGTCTGAATGAGTAGTTTTTGTCTGTTTCCTTGTTCTTGCTCACAGGAGCAAGGCCACAGGAAAGAGGAAAGCTGGCGCTCTCGTTGTACTTAGATATTAATAGGCCTGGCCATCTACTCCCACAGGCCAAATGGGGAGTGCTTGATCCAAAGAGACCCAGGTTGTCAATACTTGGTCCCACTTTCACTTTCAGGAGAAAATGAACAGGATGCGGCTACGCATTGCTCAGCGTCTGAAGGAGGCCCAGAATACATGTGCAATGCTGACGACTTTCAATGAGATTGACATGAGGTGAGAGCTCTGTTCCTCTTATTTCCATACCCTTGTTCTTGGAGGACACTTGAACTTGCCCCAGTCCCCACTAGTGCTAATTCCAAAACTGCCTGAGCAGGGAAGAGGTTCTTCCTGTTTTGTATTGCTTGTTGACTTAAACAGAGTGACCCACTGGTGTCATTCTCTCATCAACTGTTAATACTGTGCCTGCCTCCTCTTGACTTAAAAAACATAGCTTTTCAGCCCTAACTGGTTTGACTCAGTGGTTAGAGCATCGGCCTGTGGACTGAAGGGTTCGGTCAAGGGTACATGCCTGGGTTGTGGGTTTGGTCCCCAGTAGAGGGCATGCAGGAGGTAGCCAATCAATGATTCTCTCTCATCATTGATGTTTCTATTTCTCTCTCCCTCTCCCTTCCTCTCTGACATCAATAAAAATATATTTTAAAAACTTAGCTTTTCAGACTTTTATACTTAAATTTTGTGATTTCTGATAAATGAGACTGAAAATAGTCTTAAACTCTGATGACTGGTGTTGAGTTGCCAAGTAAAGATAGGGCCTACCCATTGGGATGGAGGACCACTTGACAGTGCCCGGAGCCAGGGTATCCCACCCTCCCAGAGACTGCGCCGCACACATGTTCCTGAGAGACTCAGAACTGTGCTGGTAAAAAGGCACAGGCTTGTATTATCTTTCCTCTTTCCCACCTTTGATAGTGAAATGGAAAGCAAGTTGTGTTTTGCCCTAGCTGGTTTGGCTCAGTGGATAGAGCATCAGCCTGTGGACTGAAGGGTCCCGGGTTCGATTCCGGTCAAGGGCATATGCCCGGGTTGTGGGCTCGATCCCCAGTCGCGGGTGTGCAGGAGGCAGCTGATCAATGATTCTCATCATTGGTGTTTCTATCTCCCTCTCTTTTCCTCTCTGAAATCAATAAAAATATATTTGAAAAAAATAAATAAAGCAAGTGGTGTTTTCAAAGGAAAACCTCAGAATATTAACTAAATTAAGGGACTAACTCAAATTAGCACACTGGGTTCTCGAATAAAGTTGTTTCATTCAACATAGTTTCATTATAATGTTAAAGAGGCTGTAGGAACTTAACTTTTGTTTATATTAATTAGCCTGTGGTAAAAATGGTTTCTTTATACATCATTTTCTTTAAAGTCACAGAACCTAGCAGTGATAATACCAATGAGGACTTACTGTACACACATTTCTGTAGTAAGCTAATTGTTAACTCGCCTATTTTCTGAAAAGACTTTGGTGTTTACAAGTACCAGCACTCTAGGGAAGAGAATGTAGTTAAATCTAACATTTTTTGAGCACTTAACTGTGTATAAGATATTATATGTATTTGAGGAGGATACAAAAATGAGTGAAAGAGCCCCTACCCTTCTAGAGCCTACTGTCTAGTGTGGGTAAACATAAAGTAAGTATCAGAAGGGTAAAAGAGTGTGAAGTGGAAAAGAGAAAGATATTTGTTTTTGAGGTGGCGGAAGAGGTAGGGAGGGTAGGTCAGGAAAGGCTTCCTAGAGAAAAGAGAACAACCAGCATTTTTAAAATATATATGTTTTTATTGATATCAGAGAGGAAGGGAGAGGGAGAGAGAGAAACATCAATGATGAGAGAGAATCACTGATCAGCTGCCTCCACACCCCCCACTGGGGATCAAGCCCGCAACCCAGGCATGCGCCCTTGACTGGAATCAAACCTGCAACCCTTCAGTCCACAGGCCGATGCTCTACCCCACTAAGCCAAGCCGGCTAGGGCCATTTTTTAATTTTTTTTATTTTTGTTAATCTTCACCTGAGCATATTTTCCCATTTATTTTTAGAGAGAGTGGATGGGAGGGAGGGGGGGGGGAGAGAGAGAGAGAGAGAGATAAAGATGTGAGAGAGACACTTCGATTGGTTGTCTCCTGCACATGCAACCCAGGTACATGCCCTTGACTGGGAATCAAACCCGAGACCTTCGGTGCACTGAGCCACACTGGCCAGGACACAACTAGCATTTTGACACAGGTAACATTGTGGAGAAAGATTGTTCCAGATGATGTTAACAATGTGGACTTGACAGACAGGATAGCACAAGACACATTTGAGAAATTTGCTCTGAGGAATGTGTATGGGAAGGAATGGAATAACAGGGATACGAGTTTATATTTAATTCAGGGGTAAGTCATTGAGTCTTCAGGGCATTTCTTTGTTTCTTTTGGTCCTAAGTGTTTAGTCTACTTTTCATTAGGGAAAGTTGTTTTCCTTTGGAAGGGATCTGAAAAGTGTAGAGGAGGGGATGGTTTTTGACAGTGTGCGTTGTTTGCAGAGGAGGGCTCTGTGGCCTCTTTCACTAGATATCATCCATTCTGTTGTGAAGCTTCTTAAAAAGATTGGATGTCATTCAAGCTAGAGATTTCTCTCCTGTCTATCGGATGTGGGGAAGAACCTTGACTAATAAATCACAAAGTCTGCAGCTTAGGTTTCAATGCATTAGGGCCAAATTGTGCACAAATTGAATTGGACTTTGAAATTCTACCCAATTTCTTAAGACAAAACATGTAAATATTTGTGGCCTTGAAAGATTCAGTTGGCTCAACAGCTTTGATTGGAAGGTAGGAATAATAGTTGGGTCTCCTTTTAGCAGCTAATCGAGGTGTCACTTAACAATGGCCTGGGGTCTCGCTGCAGTCAGTAATTTGGTTTAGATCGAGTGCCCTTTGGGTCTTGTGCTGATCAGCTAACCCATAAGGGGCCTTTCTGAGAAACCTTCTCCTCTCCCTATTGTCCCAGCCTCTGCCTCCAAGGACAGAGCTCTGAAATAGAAACTACTTAATGACCAGACAATAGCATTGGGGCAGGTTTGAGAGCAGAGATGTTGATCACTTCTCTTTCCCTCTTCTGCAGCTCTTGTGTCTTGGGAACCAGTAATGTCTTTAGGGTGGTAATCCTAGCACTAAATAAGGTTAGACTCAGGAAAACAAACATTTAAACTCAATCAATCCTCCTAGGAAAACTTCCTTTTTGAAAAACAAAAGGTCTGAAAGGGTGAGTTAAAGTTATATCATCTTATCTTTCATGCTAATGTTGAATTAGGCCATTATAGGGAGAACTGAGCATTTGGGTCTGAAATAAAGTTAAATTCGATTTCCATCACAGAACTGTATTTCGATAAATACTGGGGTTTCTTCAGCAAAATGATGGGAAAGCCATTTTCCACTCACGGCAGTATGCACATGGTGTATATGTAGAAAACCCGGTCCCGAAGGAGCAAAGGCTGTTCTCGTTGTAGAGACTTCTCAGAAGGCACTGCTGCTCACACTTGGGAAGCTTAGGCTCACACATGGCCACGTTCCTAAAGACCAAGGAATCCACACCCATTAAACAGACCCTAAGGGCAAGAGCTGTGTCTTGATTATCGTTGTGTCCAGCATTGACCCTCGCATGTAGTGGGGCACCTGTTGGAAGGAACAAGTGATGGAGCTGATAACTCTGGGAGATGAAGAATGATTCTACTGACTTTGCCATCAGCTTAAAAGAACACTGGGTTATACCCTTCTGTATGACTGCTTTTGCTCACAGGGAGCCCATTTACCTGTGCAATTTTTGTTTGTTGGTTTGTTTTTGTCTTAATTAGGAGATAGGAGGCATGTCACAAGGAAGTTGTAATCAGGTTTGGTGGTTTTTTAAATAATTTTAATAAGAAAAAGAATACTGTTTATTTTGTGGATTTTATGTTTAAAAACCTTTCCCCCCCAGGGTAGGTAGCTCATGATTTTAGTGTAGCTAGAAATCACTTTCTCATCCAGGGCAAGGATATTGGTGTGCTGTGTGAGTTCTTGTCCATATTATCTTGTCACTGAAATCTCTGACTTATGGAGTATGAAGGAGCCTGTCCAGGGCTCAGCCCACCTTAAAGAAAGCTTGGACCTGATTCCTTTGTATCCAGGTTTTTTTGGTAAAGGAACAAGGAAGGTTATTGTGTTGACCTTTAGTGGACTATTTCACAACTTGAACTTTACGGTACAGAGTGAAGGGGAAAAGCTTACTCAATCATGTACATGGAGTTGGAAACCAGTATGAAAGTCAGAATCAAGGCTTCACTTATAGTCAGTTTGCTTTGTAATGTGTTTTTTGCAGTAACATCCAGGATATGAGGGCCCGGCACAAAGATGCTTTTCTGAAGAAACATAACCTCAAACTGGGCTTCATGTCGGCATTTGTGAAGGCCTCAGCCTTTGCCTTGCAGGAACAGCCTGTTGTAAATGCAGGTGAGTTTGTGGTGGCCAGCATTGCAGAGGTCCTGGGAGGTATGTGTATGAACACAGAACTGCTCCAACAAACACAGACACAAGGGTGGGGGTCATCAGACCAGACTTAAAAAAATATATTTTTATTGATTTTAGAGAGAAAGGGAGAGGGAGAGAGAGATAGAAACATCAGTGATGAGAGAATCATTGATTGGCTGCAACCTACACATGTGCCGACCCGGAATCGAACCATGACCTCCTTGATTCATAGGTCAATGCTCAACCATGGAGCCACACTGGCCAGGCAGACCAAACTTTTAATTTCATACCTGTGAAAACATGAGTGTGTTTCTTAGGGATTTCTTGGCTCACCTTCCTGAAATAGTATCATCATTACTTTGTCCCCATTAAATGGACAGAGTGATTTCTCTTCCCAGTGCATAGCTCGGAAGTTCTCAGCCAGCTCAGCTCTCCAGGCCCCTCATGTCAGGGTGGAAGCTCATGTCCTGTCTGGCACTCCTCACCTTCCCCAGGGCTCTGTTATCTTGGGGCCTGACTTCCACACTTGGCATAGGCTCCAGGGTGACCTTTGATTTCTGGTTGATGGGCCTCATTGGAAGATTGTGCTCGTTTTCTTTGTGTTATTCACCTACATCATTGAAATGTTGACCTATCAAGCAGTTCTTTCCCGTTGAGACACTTCTCTGTTCCCTGAAAGATTGGAGAAGTGACATTGACACTTTTGCAACCCTCAGCAAGGCCAGGGTCCCTAAAGATCTAGAAATAGAAGCCCTAGTCCCTTCCATCAAGTGATATGCCCTAGGTAGATAGGAGGGCTGTCTTTGTTTTACCTATATATTACCTCTTTGTTTCTTCAGTTCTTCTTATGCTTCCTGATTGGTGCTCTCTGGTCGTCTGCCTGCCCATACACCTAGGCATTTCTGAGTTCTTGTGGCCTCTTTGTCATTTACATGCTTTTCCTGGTGTCTTTGTCTAACAATACAACATACACTTTTCTGCAGAAAAGATTCCCAAGCCTATTTTTTCATGAGCACTAGACCTAAATGTGCAGCTGCTGTTTGCTATCACTATTAAAGCCAGACCACCCTGCTTCCTCCTGAACCTCCTAGAAGAGCCTTCCGTCCTGCCTTGTCCCTTTTGCGAGTTGACAGCAGACGGGCAAAACCTAGCGGTTCTCAGCTAAGGGAAGGCTTGTTCACAGGAACTAAATGCATACTTACCGTACGTGAGCCAGTGGACTGAGCCCATGCAAGGGCTGCCAAAGAAATGGTGCCCTATGCTCAGGCTGTCGGGCTCAGTGTGGGCATTGGGAGATGTTACGATTGGTTAGTATGGGAGTGAGAGGAGTTTGCCACTGGTAATGCAGTGCTTTTTTTCATACTGATTGGTCAGCTCACACTGTACCAGGCACTGTGGATTGTTACTCTATTAATGCAAATATTACCTCATCAGCCTAGGCCTCAGGAGTTGTATGTAACACGTGTTTTCTCTCTTGCAGTGATTGACGATACAACCAAAGAGGTGGTATATAGGGATTATATTGACATCAGTGTTGCGGTGGCCACCCCACGGGTATGTTGGGACAGGAGATGGGGGTTCTCGTCTTAGATTCTCACCTTTATTTGTGTGAAGAAGCAGACAGCTAGGCACAGATCATGTCTGTAATTCTGTCTTTTTAGAAGGGAATTAATAAAAGAGTAACCTATTTTTGAACATACCACATTCTTTTAATGTTAAGCCTAAATATTTTAGACTGTGTTAATCAAATTGAGTAATTAGATATTCTGGGAAGGGGAGACCATTGACTTGAATCAGGGAGTTATAACTGTACAGGGTGCTATTAATTTGTAACTGAAAACGCTTTTCACTTTCATCAGGGCCTGGTGGTTCCCGTCATCAGGAACGTGGAAACAATGAATTATGCAGATATTGAGCGAACCATCTTTGAACTAGGAGAGAAGGTAAAGTAGAACGCAGCATGTGTTTCAGCTGCAGGGCAGGGCAGGGAAGCAGCCCGGGGAAGGCAGGGCTTGCCAGTGAGCAATGCTCGGAGAGCTGGAGCCTCACGTTGTTCCGTAAGAGTGCATAGCCTCTCACCCACTAGAGCTGAAGTGCAGACATTGGGCAGAGCTTAGCATGCTCTCGTGACTGAAGATCTCATCAAGTGAACCTGCTGGAACAGGAAAGGACCTGAAGGCCTTGTGTCTGTCCTTTGGTGGAGCATCTCAGCTGAAAAACTTCCTTTGTAAAAAAATATATATTTTTATTGATTTCAGAGGAAGGAAGAGGGAGCGAGGGAGAGAGAGAGAGAGGGAGGGAGGGAGGGAGAGGGAGAGAAAGAAACATCAATGATGAGAGAGACTCATTCTGCCTCCTGTATGCCCCACACTAGGGATAGAGCCTGCAACTGGGTATATGCCCGGACCAGGAATTGAACCATGACTTCCTGGTTCATAGGTCTACGCTCAACCGCTGAGCCACACTGGCTGGGCTCAGTTGAACAACTTTCATGTTACAGCTGGGTCTTGCCATGTTGACCTCAGATATGAGCCTTCTGGGTTTCCTTTAGGTGAAGAAAGCTCATCTGACCTTAAATTGCAATGATGTAATCTCTGTTTTTAGGCCCGGAAGAATGAACTCGCCATTGAAGATATGGATGGTGGTACTTTCACCATTAGCAATGGAGGTGTTTTCGGCTCCCTCTTTGGAACACCCATTATCAACCCCCCTCAGTCTGCCATCCTAGGCATGCACGCCATCTTTGATAGGCCAGTGGCTGTGGGAGGCAAGGTAAGAACCATCACTGTTCATGTCCTAGGAGCTAGGTGATAAGAGGGAAATCTTACTAAGTGCTAATTGTGAGATTCACTGTAATTTTAGGCTTAAGTTTCATCTCTTAGTTTCTAATTAAAGCTAAGGCACTGATTCTCATTGTGGTATGTGGATCAGCATCATCTGGGAACTTACCAGAAATGCACAATCTTGGACCCCCTTTTGGACCTGTTGAAGCAGAACCTGCAGATGATTCTGGTGCAGTAAAGTTTGAGGACAGTTGAGCTAGGAAAGCTTGCTCCTTCATCTAGGACAGTCAGTCGGCTTCACTCTCTAGGTGCTGAAGATAGTGGGGATACAGTTGGGGACCTGGTCCTTGCCCAGGAAAAGGATAATGCAGAGCAGTCCGCGAGCTTCTAAGTGTAGGGTAAGGCTTAGAGGTTCTCCGGGGGTTCAGGGAAGGAAGTCCCAGGGTCTGGAGCTGGCCCCAAAAGACATGTCAGGAGGAAAACATTTTCTGGGACTGCGTTTCAAACTTTCTTGGGTCACTAACTCCTTTGTGAGTCTGAAATCATAGATCTCCCCCCCCCAACTCCCCCCGAAAATGCTCACACACCCTACTTTACATACAATTTCAGAGAATTTGTGGACCCCAGGTTTAAATTTATAACCCTCAAGCCAGACTGAAAGGGAAACTTTTCCTTTAGAAAACGAATGAAGGGTAAAGTCTGTTTAAAAAGGCAGTGTGCAGACTCCTGTTCTCTGTTTCAGAGTGGGGCAAGCAGGGGAGCTGTGCACTAAGGATAAGGCTTGGTCTTCGGAAATATTGTATCTAGAGCAACACCAATAGGAAAGGCACAGAACTTCCCTCATTTCCCCACTTCCACGGGGCTTTTCTGCTACCGCAGACGAGTCTATAACCCTCCTCTCTCTGTAGGTGGAGGTGCGGCCCATGATGTTCGTGGCACTGACCTATGATCACCGGCTAATTGACGGCAGAGAGGCTGTGACTTTCCTCCGAAAAATCAAGGCAGCGGTAGAGGATCCCAGAATCCTCCTAATGGACCTTTAGGAGGAAGTCACACACCCAACACATTGACCACGCAGGAACTGAAAACCAGTCTTCTCTCTGCCCCATGTGGGTCCCGGGTTCGCCTGGCGACAGACAGGCACATGCTGTTGGCCTCAAGCAAGGAAGCCAGGGCACTATATAACCAGCAGTCGCAGGTCTTTCTTGGTGTTCCTACCAGCTCTCTCTCTCTCTCTCTCTCTCTGTACCCCTCTCTTAATACTCGAATATCTTATTTCCTTAGGCTTGAGGGAGAGAAAGAGAGAGCCTTCACAGATGCTCATTAATATCCCTGCCTTTCTTCATTAACCCTCTGCCGAGATAATTTTGCTTCTCCCCCGTGCCAGTACACGATAGGGAAACCACTGGGGACCATGGGATTAAGTTTCAGTCTTTTGAAAGTGTGTTCTCCAGAGCTGCCTGGGAGGATTGTGCCTCCCACGCTCAGAGCAGCCTCTGCCCTGGCTGTGCACATTCTCACTTGATTCCACCTTGTGGAGGTATTGACCACAGGCCAAGGTGCTGCTTTGCTGCTGAAATGCACCTTCCTTCTCAGCTGTCATTGACTTCAGGATGCCTCTACTACCTCTTCCAGGAAGCACAGGCCGGGGGACCTGGGTAGGAGAGGTGTTGGCAGTGTGGAGGGGGAGAGGGCAGATTCCCCCTGAGGTCATAGCTATAAACAAGAGAACAGAAGCCAGGCCTGCCCTCACATTCTCTGTCATAGCCTCACACCAGGAAAACCCATTTTGGCACAGCTATGGTTGTGCCAACCTTTCTAGGTTGCTAGGAACCGTTCTAGCACATTGTTCTCATCTGGAGCCGATTCTAGTACATCAAGGCAGTGGAGGATGGACTGGAGCCTGGTAGAGATTGGGGGAGGGAGGCTTCCTGTGGACAGGCTCGGATTGACTTGAGCTTTTAAATTCCATGGGTATGAGCATGTGACTGAAGAGGCAGTTCTGTTTTTTCCTGATCATGGCCCTTGGGAAGTGGGGCTTTGGCTCCTCTGCAGAGCACGGGTCTGGGGCAGGGTGGACTGGTGGGAACCAGCCCCAAGATGCCAGTACACGGGGGAAGTGACCGATGTTTCCTCTGAGGTACTGCCTGATGGGTCTGGACACAGTCATTGGAATTCCTTGGAACATGGTTAAATGTACACGTCTTGTCATGAAAGCTACCAGGCTTCATTGCTTTAAATCCAACTGCATTCAGGCCTGAGGCTGCTGACACTGGACATGGGAGCCACTTACTTAGTGCAGAGTGCCCACTTGTATCTCAAAGAAGTAAGGCCTGGGGGACGGGTGGGGGGAAGGGATGGGAGCCAATACTGAGTGCCTGCAGCATCTGCTATGTCTTCACTATTCAGAACTCGTAACTGAAATATTTAAAGAAACTGATTTTAAATGCAAATTAAAGGGCAAAAGTTCTCAAGCAGAGTTCCTGTTCTTCTGTGTTCATTTTGGTTACTGAGGTGGTGTAAGTCTCCAACACTGGTTATTGGCATTGAAAGCCACCTAAGGTCCCTTTGGTTACCCTGTGATATCTGAGTGTTAAAGTAAGTTAACACTGCACTGATTTGACAAACAATGGAAGTGGGCTGTCTGCAGGCAGGGAAGCGCCCTGGCCTCCTTCCAGTTGACACCTCAAAGCCTGGCAAGCCGGGCTCTTGGGCAGAGACTGGTTCCCACCTTTGAGGCTCCTGCAAACACCAACACACTTGCATTATTTCTGGGATGGATACCAAGGTCAGTAAGAACCATGAGGGTCGATTACCTCCTGGGAGCAGTGGTCTGCGAGGGAGAGGGACAGTTAACCGAGACTGACTCCAGGTGACTGGCATGATGGTCTCCAGGCTTAAATATACCCGGTCTTTCCACACAGTCCGTGCCTGCTGATCTTGCTTACAGTAGTGCCATTTCTGTATGAAGGTCTGCCCCAGGAACAGAGTGGCTCCCCAAGGGTAGAATTTGGGTTCAATGAAAGGAATTTTAGAATTTTCTATTAGGCCCAGGACCTGGTGCTAACTTTCATTTCTCTAGTAAACCTATAAGGAGGTAGACTGTAAGCCCCATAAGGTCTGGGACTATAGGATTCTGGCTTAGAGCCTGGCACAGTGCCACATGTACAGTGTTTATTGCACAGATGGGGCCCAGAGGTTCCAGAAGCAACTTGGACTTGCAGCAGTGGTTGGAGGTGGTCTGGCCTGACTTAGGGAGTGTAGCAAAGGAAGACTGGACAAGCTCCACTAGGCTCCCATCAGACCTTGTCATTAACCTCGTGTGTGTATGTGTGTCAGGAAGGGAGAGAGAAACATCAGTGACGATGAGAATCATTGATGGGCTGCCTCCTGCACACCCACTACTGGGGATCAAGCCTGCAACCAAGGCATGTGCCCTTGACTGGAATCGAACCCGGGAACCTTCAGTCTGCAGGCCGACGCTCTATCCACTGAGCAAAACCAGCTAGGGCGTCATTAACCTCTGAGTAGGAGCCACCTTCTGTCTCAAGGGGTCACTGAAGATTAAACTATTCCCCCCCCCAGGCATCATGACCCTCGTCTAAGGCTCGTCTTTTATTTCCCATGAAGCCCAGTGCCCCTCTATGCCAGCACTTCCCCTTGGGCTCAATGCTGCTCTGCAGGGCACAGGCTGGCATGCGGGTGGGTCTACCACCAGCCCTGCTTCCTACTTCCTAGTGGACTCCCAAGTTCACTGTTGAGTGTCATGGAGCTTATTTGGGGGAGCCTTCCAGTCTTCCTGTCCCGACAGGGTAGCTCTAGTTGCATTAATGAGGCAAGAACACCACAGGCAACATCAGGCTTTATTGGGGGCAAGATGGTATGGACACGCCCCAGAGAAACCAGGACCATACCAGGCTGTGCTTCCCTATGTCCTCTGCCCAAGTCACTCCAGCCTCCCTCACAACCCAGTTCCCCGCCCCTTCACAATCGGAATGGAGATGAGTGTCAAGGCCGCCACCTGGTGGTATAGCAGACACAAGGCAAGGGGTTGGGGGCAGAGGTCTGGTGAAAGTTTTAGTTGCCACACCCCAGTGACAGGGTGAGTCCTGAGAGGAAAAAGCCCCCAAACCTGAGGAGGGGGTTGTATTTGGGGTAACTACTTATCCCAGTTCTTCAGAGACCAAACATCTTGCTTCTGGCTAAAAGCCTGGGCAATCATTCTGTGTGTTGTGATTCATTTCAAAAGGGGATGAAGTCACAGTAGGCAATGAATTGAGTGGACCCTCAAGTCTCAAATGCAAATTGGTAAACAGGACCAATGCCTGAGAAGGGAATCCTAATGGGCCCAGCTTGTCTTAGCAGCTTCTGCCTGGAGGCTGAACTGAGGTCTCTCAGACTGTGGGGCAGGCTCCCCATTCTCTCCACCCCAGTGGGCTAGCTAGGGAGGGGAGGTCTTATTCTGCTTCTAAAATTGCTCTAATTGGCAAAGGTGCCCTCTCCCCTCCTCCTAATCCCTGTTTCCTCCCCCACGCCCCTCTTCCTTTTGCTCTTCAGAGTCTGAAATTGCAAGACAGGGGCATGGTCAGGAGGGGGAGTGGATCACCCTGTTCCCCACCTCACTGCATGCTCACTACAGACGTCCCTGGCCTCCCCGCCCCATGCAGGAGGAGTCTGATAGAAGAGGCCACTATTTACACGGCTAAGGTATCAGCCAGGGCAGCCCTAATTTGAGTCCACTAAGCCAGTGGACCAGTATCCTGAGATAAGTCTCCAGAGATGTCCCAAGTAGGGCACAACATGGCAGGTAGCGAATCACAAAACCTCAAGGTTGGCTCAGCAGGTGGTCAGTACTTCGGAGCGAATGTGACAGAAGGCACCCTTTAATGGGGTAGGTCTGTGTTCAAGGCTCAGGGTGTGCGCTCAACAGGTCTCTGTTGACGGATGGGTGGATGGAGGGGCCCAAGCCACCTAGCAGGGTGAGCTCTGTCCTGTCCCTTCCCATCAGCAGTGACTAGAAAGGGTTCCTCCAAGAGCTGGCGGGGAGACTCCCTAGGGACAGCGGCGATGATAGCTTCTGAGCCCACAGGAGGGAGCAGAGCTGAGCAGGAAAGGCGGCTGACCCGCATTCTTTGCAGAGGCCGCTGGTTAGAGTGACAGGATGAGGGTCAGCTCAGAGTGACAGGATGACAGGCGAAGAGAAGAGAGGAGACTCAGACCAGTCCGGCTGCTTCCATCGCCCACTCCACCCTCTCTTACCCCACCAGCTTGCTCCACTGGATGGTACTGAAAAAGGGGTGGGACTTGAGTCTGTTGACACCGCCCCCTCCAGTTCCCAGGCGCCTGCTGGCATCGAACTGCAGGAGCTGTGGAGAAAGGCCCGGTCAGCGCCTGGCAGGCCTTCCCAGCCCCATTGCTGAGGTGTGGGCTGACTTCCAGGGACTTGTCACCGTGGCCCCGGGGGCTCACTCCCTGCCAGCCCAGCCCATAGAACCCCCAGATTTACCCTGGGGAACACTGGTGGTGTTTGGCCACCAACAGATAGAGAACTTTATAACCTCCTGCACCCACATCAGCCATCCAGGAGCAGCATGCTTGTTCACACACAGGGTTCTGCCTTCCCAGCGCCCACCCTCAGGCCAAGGAGCCGCCTCTGCTGGGCCGGCTGACCTCACCTCCGTCAGCAGGGAGGCTGCTGGGCGACTGAGCCACTCGGGCAGCTGGAGCTGGGTGTGGGGCTGGATTCCTGAGGGGTGGCTCTGGGCTAGGGCCTGGGAAGACACAGGGAGGGGCCTCAGGAGGCAACCCCTGGAGAGTCTGCACACCCCAGCGGCAGCCAGGGTTTTATTTTTCCCTGGGTCACCTTCCATGGGATGATGACAACGCAGACCATTGTATCTGCTTTGGATCCACTGTATGCCAGGCGGCGCTAGATGCCTGACAGCCATTGCCCACACTCCCACAACCCCGCTCAGAGTGAATACAAGTATCGCATTGGAGAGACAAAAGCAGGCTGAGAGGTGAAGGGACTGATGCTGAGGGTAGGGTTTGAATCCAGGTCCCTCTGGCTCTAAGCTAGCTCGATGCATTGCTCTTGGGCTGCAATCAGGACAGGCACTTCAGGATGAGTATTGGAACTTGTCTTCACACAGAAAAACAACAACACAACCCTCCACGGGCCACTCATTTGGCAGCAGGCCACGGCATGCTCCCGCCGCGCCAAGGCAGGGCTGTGGTGAGGGAAGGCAGGGCCTCTCTCTACTCCAGCAGGGTGCAGCTGTGGAGAGCAAGGAGGTCTGTCTGGAGGTCAGGATGAGCTGCAAGAAGCGACCAGGAGGAAGGCCAGAAGCTCAGGCTAGAGAGGTGGTGGGAGGCTGGGAGGGGAGAGCAGCTCTGTTTGCAGCCAGGCCTCTCAGAGGCCCTGGGCTACGGGACAAAAGCAGGAGGCAGCCACGGTGAACTGGTCCGATCTGGGCTTCAGGTCACACTGCATCCTCTCTGGCTATTTCCTGCTTAAAGGCAGCTCGGCCTTTCCCTTGCTGTCTGACCTCACCAGCCCCAGGTGCAGAGCTGAGCTCATCGAGTGGACAGAGGGCAGAAGCCGCCATCCTGAGCAAGGGCGTTTGCCGGGGAAACTTTGAGCTCTTGGCTGACCCAGGCTGGACGGACAGTGGCTGGCCTGCATCCAGGAGGCCCGCTCTCCTGTTCTTCAGCCAAAGTCTGGGGGTTACAGCCCAGGAGGCCTCGGGGGTGGGAAGCGAGCAGTGGGAAGCGGCTGAGGGGGTGAGCCAGGCGCCTTTCGGGGAAGAAGCGCTGTCCAATCCCACCCTTCCTCCAAAACCCGCCCTGACCACCCAACTCAGCTCTCACCCACTGACGGCAGTCTCACCAGCTACAGCCACTAGCATGGGGGGAGGGGGGGAACCAAGTGGGCCCACGGCCTGGGTGGCAGTGGCTCCCTGCGTCTCTCATGGCCTGTGGGGGTGAACTGGGGAGGGCCAGCTGTGCTGGCAGGTTCTGGAGTCCCAGGCAGCCTGAGCCCGACATGGGCTGGTTGTATTAAGCCCAGGCCACCCTGTCCTCAGTGACCCCCACAAGGGCCCCACACCCTGCCCTGCCACTCACCGTTCCAGTCAGCAGTTCATACAGTAGAGACCCAAAGCTCCACCAGTCACAGGCTTCCGTCAGCTCAGAAATCCCACCCACCTCTGCGGGAGCAAGAACACAAATGTCCCCACCTTCCCCGAGAAGGTGGGTCTCCCCTCTATTCATCCTACCCAGACCCGGCCCATCCCCTCTGTCCCCCTCACCCCCCCCCAGGTTCACCCACACAAAGGCGCGGGGTCCAGGGCCCTGCCCCCTCTCCTTGCCTGGGGCACTGTAGAGGTTGTCCACAGCCTCCCGGCAGCACTGGGGCTCCACCTCTGACCACTGGCCAAAGTACGTGAGCCGAACATGACCTTCCCGTCAGTGTGCACA